AGCACATTCAAATCAGTGTGTAAATAACTCTTTTTTAGTAGCACATTCAAATCAGTGTGTAAATAACTCTTTTTTAGTAGCACATTCAAATCAGTCATTTTACACACCTTATCAACCTAAATATTCACTCTCAGAACTTCATCCATCTCCTACCATCCACAGCCTCTCTTTTTCCCATCCTCTTCTTGTGTTACTCTTCCATCGTTGCAGTTATTTTCCAGAAAATATCTCCACTCGCGCTTCCAGCTTTGAGCGTTAAAGCAGAGATGTGCTTCTTAATTAATCCCCAACTATGGATGGCTAAATTATTTTTACTCAAATTTCATTTTCCTATATGTTTTCTTTGGCTTGTTGCTATCTTTTAATGGATATATCTCTTCACATATTACTTCCATGATATATTACTTCTATGAGTGTGTTATTATTATTATTATTTTTCATTTTTACATTAAACAATCTTTATATATACCATTATGTTGATTGAATCAGACAAATAATATTAAGTGTTTTAATTAATCCTGTTTATATATATCTTTATTTTAGAATTTTTTATTGATTATGTTTTAATTCATTAGAGTATCCAATTATTTTTAATTAAGGTTTGTTTTTAATTAATATAATGATGATTAAATTTTCTTTCCTAATTATTGTTTTACTGTCTCTTTCAATTTAATATTTTATTTGGTTGACACAATATTTTATCTGTTTGACACAGATTTCTGAATATTTTACCAAATTAAGTTTAACTAGTCTCTCTACAAAATCCAACAACTTTTTAGCTTTGACCATCAGCGAGAAAGAAAAAGCAGCTACAACATAATTAAGGTATGTATATGTGTACTAATACTTTCTAATTATTATCTTTAGGAAGATCTAAATCAAACTCTATGATATATATTTTTATTGCTTTCTTTCTATCATCTTTGCTATTTTTAATTTCAACACGCGAAACTAATTAAATCAATCCATTAGGATAAAATACTAATTTGATAATAGTGTGAGGTACTCAATAGATTAGCCTAATTTGTGTTTCAATTCATTTCTTTCTCTTATGTAGAAAAGTTGTTCCATCCAATGGAGTTCTTATCTTTTGCTGGAGGTTTTCTTTTACCTGGTATATTTGACTCGCTACGTGAAAAGTTGAATGAATATATAAATGATCAGTTGATTGGATATATAAGTGATCAGCTACAAAATTCAGAGGAAGATGTACGTGCCCAGATGGAAAGCTGGAAGAATCTATTGTCCAAAATCACAGCTATACTTCAACATGCAGAAGAAAATCAAGGTGCCAATCTGTTTGTGGAGTCATATCTTGATGATCTCAAGGACTTGGCTTATGATATGGAGGACATACTTGAAGAGTTTGTGATTGATGCCAGGAGGTCCGAATTGACTGCAGAACCTGATGCTAGAGCCAACAAACGACCAAAAATCGCCTCCAGTATCTCCAATATCATGAATTTATTTAGATCTAAGGCGCCACCCAATCAAAAGATTGATTCCATGGTGAATTATCTGAATGTTAGATTGGAGCGTTTTGAAAAGGGGATGGATACTTTTGGCCTGTTCAATTTGAATATGAAAGTTGAAGATAGGTCCCACAAAGTAATTGCAAAAAGACTACCTGAGTCTTCACTTCTTGAGGATAAGGTGTTGGGTCGAGATAGTGATAAAGATGCTATTCTTCAGAGGTTGTTAGAAGATGGAGGCAATCTCGAACAAGATTTTGTTATTCCCATTGTTGGAATGGGTGGACTAGGCAAGACAACTCTTGCTCGGCTCATTTACAATCATGAAAACTTGGAAGGCAGGTTTGACTTGAAGGCATGGGTTTGTGTTTCTGATGAGTTTGATGTTGCTCGAATAACAAGAACCATTTTAGAACAGGTAACTGGGAAAAAGTGTGATCTTGATGATTTGGATTCAATTCAAAAGAAATTGAAAGAGAAGTTATATGGGCGCAAGTTTTTTCTTGTATTGGATGATGTTTGGAATGAGGAATATGACGACTGGGATAAATTGAAGAGACCTTTCATGTCAGGAGCTCCTGGAAGCAAAATAATTATCACAACTCGAAAGGAAGAGGTTGGGAGGATAATGAGAGGAGATGATGGAGTCTACAGTTTAAAGATGCTACCGGTTGATGCTTGTTTGCCATTGTTTACTTGGCATGCA